TCCAAGATCCCTCTCCACCTCCGAGCTGCTGAGAAGGACACTCCCCAACCTATAGGTGTGCTGGGGATTCCTCCTTCCCAGATGGAGTACCTTACATTTATCTTTATTAAATTGCATTCTGTTTCTCTCTGCCCATTGATCCAACCTGTCCAGGTCAGCCTGAATCTGCTCCCTGCCCTCCGGTGTACTAACTTTGCCCCATAACTTGGTATCATCAGCGAACTTGGAGAAGGTGCTCTCCACGCCCTCGTCCAAATCGCTGCTGAAGATATTGAATCATTATCGGTCCGAGGACTGAACCCTGCAGGACCCCACTGCCCACCTCCCTCCAGGCCAAGAAGGAACCATCCACCACCACTCTCTGGGTGCAGTCCCTAAGCCAGTTGGCCACCCACCTGACCGTGTAGGCGTCCACTCCACAGTCTGCTAGCTTCCCAATGAGGATAGGGTGCAAAACTGTCGAAGGCCTTCCTAAAGTCCAGGAAGATGACATCAGATAGTACATTATTTGTACTATCTAGATTGGGGTGGACAAAATGTGGCCCATGGGCTGGATGTAGCCCACCAGGCCATTCTATCTGGCCCACGGGGCCCCTAAAAAACTTAGAAAATTAATATTTATCTGCCCCTGGCTGCCTGTCATGCAGCCCTCGATGACTTGCCAAAACTCAGTAAGCGGCCCTCCGCCCAAAATAATTGCCCGCCCCGATCTAGATTAACCCCCGATTAACCCCCATGCTATCATCACAGCTTTATTTTGCAGTGTAAATGCACTTTGGGCAGCTTTCATAGGGGCGGATATTATAAACAGGCCCATACTTTCTACCTAGTTTGATCAATGATGAAATAAAAAGCAGCTGACAATTACGTTATCATCAATGTGCAACATCTCATAAAGGTCCAAGTAGCTGTTGTTTCAAGACATTCTGCAGGCCCAGACAGATATCACTGCTATGGTTACAGATACTTTTACTACATTTGGAAGATTTTTGTTGCAAACATAGGGCTAGAAACTCACATTTTAATGAAAGCTGAAAATCCCTAGAACATAATGGCAGATTCCAGTAGGTGCTAAGGCTTTGGTCTTACCCAGTCTGAGAACTGTTGCTCCACTGTAACTTAACTGACTTATGGGATTTGTTGCAAAAATCCCCTGGTGTAAGTGGGATGATAATCAGGCCCTGTGAGCTGTAGGTTATTGCCAACTCTCATGATTTTTGACATTGTTCTTGAAGTCTACGCTTCAGGAATGTAAAAAACTGAGCTCTTTCTTTTACATATATATCTATATAGATATATAGATATATCTATATATCTATATAGATTATATATATATACACATAAATATAAATATATATAAAAGAAAGAGCTCAGTTTTTCACATTCCCAAAGCGTAGACTTCAAGAACAATGTCAAAAATCATGAGAGTTGGCAACATTTGTTTATATTCACTGTCCTCGTGAGCTCTGCTCCCTGCAAGATCAGTATATGGAAGCAGGTCAAAGGTGTCTTACTCTTAGTTCTTAGGACACCCAGGGGTCATATTAATCTGCAACATAAATTAGAGCAGTCTAATGATGGCTTTACTTTATGCATGGCTGTCTAAAGACCCAAGCGGCTCTTCTGGCAGCAAGAAACAGCTTGAGTGTAAGGATGTCCATAATCTCGGTGTCTGTTCTTATATAAGGAGCAAGTTTCTAGCCCTCCTGGCAGCACAGAAAACGCTTGGAAAGCTGATGAAAGGACCATGAAAGGACCATCTAGCTCTAGCAGATCAGAAATTGGGGTGGGGAAGGCAGGCAGAGGGAAAGCTGGTGGTGCTACAGAGCAAAACTCCCACTGGACCCTGTTCCTACCTGGTATAACTCTTGATAAAGAATGATTTTTACATTACACTGATACCAGGCCTGAGCTTAGCCAAAAAGGCAAAAAACAGTTGGACCCTCTCCTGAACTGTCACTGGGGACTGGGTGTTCTTCCTCTATCATTGCTATGGGCATTGCAACTCCACTGGCACCTCCTGGAGCTTGTCACGACCCAGTGATTTTTTGTGCCTCGGCACTATGGAATTTCCTGGCCACATGAGAGCTCCTTTGCACGGCAGAGTGTTTTGCTGCAATTAAGAGCCTGCGTGCAGGAGAGTTCCCGCCAATTTGCGGTTTCCTTTGCAGGACGCATTTCTTCTTTGCAGCACAGAGATGCACGGTGCAAAGAGTTCCCGCTATTCGGATGTAAATTTGTGCCCCGCTATTGGCCAGTGCTAAATTATTCACACGTGGCGGCTAGTAATTGGCTCGCTGGCCGTTTAAAATTCCGCGCGACTTCCGCCCAAGTGGAAGAGCTTTGAGCACGCTGCAGAGTGCCTCTGAAGTTATCTGACTTGCGGCTGCTGATCGATAGACTGATCACCTATCGATCTTTCTTCCTGTCACCGAGCGCAACCCCGACGTACCCCTTTCCCCGCCGGCTTCGAATTGCGGACGGATTAACTGGCTTGGGCCCCGCCAGCTGGAACAACTCGTGTGGTTGTTCCGACGACCGGACCACCTGCGTCGTGATTGCAAGCGGCGTAAGTAAAGTTTTTTACAACCAATAAGTTGTGTCTGCCTCTCCATTCACCAGCCCGCCCTGACGTACGAGCGTAACTCGAGTCGGCCCTGGCCGTCCGAGACAGAGCTAAAGGAGGACCAAGGAGACACAGCCAAGAGTTAAGCTAAGCTTTCTTCCACTGCTTGTCTGAGCGCATGCGCGTGCACACACATATTATACACACACAGTAGGGAAACAGTGGAATGCCGTGACAGAAAAAGCATAGGATTATTTAGCTATTACCCTCCTCCCTCCCCTGAGCAATAAGAGCTGAGAGATTGTCCCTTGTCTGCCGCATGTGGTATTTTCTTGATCCATGATTGAACTCTCACTTCCCTTACTGCACATCTGTGATTCAGGAGAATCTATGCTAACATCACTCAAGCAGGCATACCTGGCTTCAGGAAAGCTAAGCCCTGACCAGTATCATCTGTGTACTGAACACACTCCAGTGCTATAGAGGCAGTATGCTGAATACAAGGGTAACGCCTTCCACAGGCAACACAATTCCAGATGGGCAGAGTACAATCAGAGCAACCGGGCTACATGGGCAGTCTGAATCCAACTTATTCAGAGGAGCAACGCAGAAGGGGCAGTATAGCTCAGACTCACCTGTCGGTATAAAGCAAGGGGTTTTATGAATGGAACAGTTCACAAACACCTGTACAAGGGCCTGCAACTTGGTCTTGTTTTCATCACCGCTGTGTTTGTGCTCCCTCAGGCGGGCCTGCCTTTTTGCCCACTTCAGAAGTGAAGCAGAAACTTAGAAAATGTCATACTCTGCCTTTACTGGTTCATTTTACTTTCATACAGCTCTTTTGTGTCTATCTCTTTCATACTGCGATTCCTACAAAGTAGTCATTTCTTTTAACTGCGGCATCACCATTCCATCTATAAGCCAGAAATCAGATTTGAAGTGCTTCCACAGTCTCAAGGTGTTTTTAGATTTTAAAAATCTGCATCACATTTTCAAAAAGGTGATCTAAAATATTATTTGGGAGACCTTGATTATATCTTTTAGGCAAGGATTTTGATATCTACAAAATATATTATGACTCTTACATTTTCATATTTAGGCATATGTTTTTTCTCTGTTCCACTGACACTAGAGTTTTATGGCTCATTTGAGTAGTAACTGCAATTCCTTTAAATGTGAGGAGAAATAACAAGTGAATAGTGCTGTATTGATTGAGAGAGAAACTAGTAAAATCCACTTCACACTTGAGTGGGTAGTTTTTTAGTACTATGCTTTGATCACAAGTTAAACCACACTCAAATACATCATATGGAACTGGCAAGACAGACTTCCTTTTCCTCTGTTATATCCATGCTAGCTTTGTCCCGTGGTGTTTTCCTCTTTCAGACATGTACATTTTTATTATCAATTTCTTTCAATTAAAATACTAGCTCTCCTGTGCAAGAGAGATCATTCAAATGAGAGGATCAGATTCTGATCTGGATTGTGCCAACATAAATCTGGAGACATTCCATTATCTCGAGCAAACATATTCTGGATTTGCAGTGGTCTAGCTAGGCTCATAATCTAGGATCACCCCTCTTTCCTGGCATATTTGAAAGAGGTTTGGCTTACAGAGAACTAGGTAAACAAATACTTCCTTGTAGAAATCTGGGAGTGAGATAGTATTTTAAGATTTACAATTTTTATTAGCTACCTTTCACCTCCTGCCTCCTTTTGATTCATGGTGGACATAAAGGTCTTCCTCATTTTCCCATTTGCAATTAGAGGTCACACACACTGTTCAGAATATTAAGAAATATTACTCACATTTTTCCTCCCAAAGCTGATCTTTGCAATGTCTTCTAGCTGTGGTTTTGCTACTCTCAAAGCTGGAGTCTCACTCTGTTTCTAGGAATTGCACCTCTCAAACCCCTGTATACAGGAATTTATACATGTTTAGGAAGATCAATATCATGCATTATTTAGAAAGTAGTGGGTATTAAATAAGCTTTTAGCTCAAGACAGGATTGGCTGAGGCATCTTGAAAGCAAAAGCTTATGCAAGAGAAACACGATTACTTAACTAAGTTCTGTTAAGGCATCCGGGGTACTACTGCCTGCCTACAAACTTGCTGACAGCGCCAGTAACTAGCAAGCACATGTTTTTCAGCTCCCTCTTACTTTGTGTTTTGCTATCCCCGTGTCATGGGAAATGAATCTAGCACTCTGCAATTTAATCAAAAACAAACAGTAACAAATTATTGTAGTAAACAGAGACAATGGTGTATGTGAGACAGCCCCCATATGTTCTGTAGGTTGCAGGCAATACTCCAAAATATCCAGAATTCCAGCGTCACTTTTAAAACATAGCTTCTTTTTTGGTTAAATCCCCCAAATGTGGCTTTTAATAAGCATATTCATTTGCTTCTCCATCGCCCCTGCATTTCCGTTGCTATAAAAGTACGGGAAGGAACATAATGTTCCTACTGGAAAAAAAGAGAGCTTGCCAGATCCCTCCCATCTTCAAGCAGGATTTACTGAGTCTTTTTTGTTTGTTGCAGTTATTAGCCAAAAAGAGGAAAATAAAGACATTTAAACAGCCTCTCTCAGTGACTCACAGAATCGCAAAAAATTAGGGTTGGAAGGGACCTCAGGCGGTCATCTAGTTCAACCCCCTGTTCAAAGCAGGACCATCCCTAACTAGATCGTTCCAGCCAGGGCTTTGATAAGCTGGGTCTTAAAAACCTCCAAGGATGGAGATTCAACCACCTCTCTAGATAACCTATTCCAGTGCTTCACTAGCCTCCTAGGGTGTTTTTGCATGTGCTATTGGAGGCAGGGGGAGAAGGGTGGGGGGGAACGGGACGGGGGACACTATAATTAGAGCAGCTCTGAAAACCACTCTAATTAAAGTGCCTGCAGCATCTCATGTATTAGCATTCCCACGCTTCAAACTAGAGGTGTCAAACGAGTTTTAGTTAAAGTGCCCCACCACCATTTTGAAGCTTGGGGACACTGATACATAAGATGTGGAGGTTGCTGGAGCATGCTAATTAGCACATTCCAGCAGACTCAATTGAGTCTGCTCCAACGCACTGTAAGTCCATAGTGAAGGGCCCAAAATTGGACACAGTACTCCAGATGTGGCCTCACCAGTGCAGAATAGAGGGAATAAATTATTTCCCTTGATCTACTGGCAACACTCCTACTAACGCAGCCCAGTAGGCTGTTAGCTTTCTTAGTAACAAGGGCACACTGTTGGCTCATATTAAACTTATTGTCCGCTATAACCCCCAGGTCCTTTTCTGCAGAGCTGCTGCTTAGCCAGTTGGTCCCAGGCCTGTAGCAGTGCATGGGATTCTTCCGTCCTAAGTGCAGGGCTTCGTACCATGATCATGGTGGCCCTGATCATGCTGTTTGGCACCACAGCCAGTAAACAGCGGTGCTAAGGAAAGCTGCTTGGGAGGACCTCAACTGTCAAAACGAAGCCTATTTGCAGGAGAGGGTGTATTTTACTGGGTCTTTTAATTCTAAAAATAAATAAAAATAAATAAAAATCCATCTTATAAAAACTGTCTGGATCCAAACTTTAAGGCTGCCAATTGGTGAAAAGTTCTGAGGTTGCCATGTTATGTGCCAGGGCAGAAAAAGCTTTTGTGGGTTCAAAATCTCTTGTCAGATGGGAAACCCACTCTGGCCCAACTCAAGTGCCTCTGCCAGAATGCATCTTAGAGCTCCCAGGACCAGGGAAGGAAGGCTGCTCACCTCCCCTACCCCTTCCAATGGGAAGCCACTGGCTAATCCTCAAATGGTCAGTTAGCTCAATTCACCCCTAATAACTCCTCCCTGCTTTCTTTGAGAAATTGCTCTCAAAGCCCATTTCTACCTCTCTCTCTTGTGCTAGGGAAGGGTGGCAGCAGAAGGCCCTCTGTGATTTCCAAAGGCTCCTGTGGAGCTCTGTGCTTCCGTAAGAGGGTTATAAAAAACAGGTCCGAGTCAAGTCAGTGACAGGGATGAGTTTTGTGAGACTGAAAGAAGTCAAAATGAAAAAACAGCCAGAGACAACAATGCCACTTAGCACTTTATTCCTTCCAAGATGCCTGCAAATATTCACGAATTAATGAAAGGTGAAGCAAGCGTGTTCGTGCAGGCCATTTCAGTGCAGAAGATTGGGTAGCTCGCTTCTAATCCCTGTGGATCTGATGTGGTCTTGGTAACACCCTATGAAATGAGTCAGGAAAATCCAGTGATTATTTAAGCCTAGACTCTGCTTAGCCCTTCTGTCCTGAGAGGGTTTGAAGCCATCTCCCCTCACAAAGCCTCTGTACATGTTATGCCGAACTGTAGCTTTCTTGCTTGAAGGAGGGTGGGGGCCACTTCAAACCTACTGCCTCAGGGTGCACAATTTCCCAAAGAAACGATACAGGAACCTGAGTGATGTGGCTTCATCCTCCCCACAAACTGGCCAGTGACATTAGCCAGCCAAGACAGTGGGGAGTAAACTGTCCCCACAAAAGGGTGTAGTAGCAGACGTATAACCTCAGGATTCCTTAGGTGTGGCTCTGTATTGGCTCCATCCATGTGCCTGGCTCAGTGGGACAATCCTGTCCTGGACCTCAGGACCATATGCTTTGGTGGCCCCCAACATGTCATGTAACCCTCCCCTGCAATGTCAGTCCAGGTCTGGACTATCAGAGCAACCCTAATGCATCCCAGACACTGGAGTGCAAGGCCCAAAAGTGGTAAATGGAAAGGCTGCTTTTCAGTGATTCCTCCCACATACACTTGGTCCTGTACTAATGCTTAGTCAGACTTGGTGCAACCCTGAAATTAAATCCTTAACGTCAGGAGCATGTTTTTTCTGATAAATCCCAGGGCTGGTATTCCCATATACTGCCATCCATGGTGGCAAGGACTTCAGTTTGCAACGTCCAGTGCAGGAGGGTGGAACCAGACTGCTTTCTAGCTAGGTTGCTATGGAGCTGACTCTACCATGACCCCCAAATAAAATGCATTCAAGCTTTCACCACGCATAATATGCTAAAAACATTGTTTCTCTCCATGGCTTTATAGGAGCCACAAATGCTAGAAATGACAGTTCACTGCAGCAAGACACTGCTAAATGGGGCTGGGAAGAATAGTTTAGTTGGGATATTTTGCTTCCAAGTAAGATTTGTGGAATCTGGGACATAGTGTTTAACTGACTGTCCAGTTGGAGCTGTGCTCGGTTTAAGAAAATGGGGGTGCATCTACACATGCAAATAATGTGGGATAATAGCGTAAATTACTATAGAGTAAACTGATCCGGGCAGACATCTTCACATTCAGGGTCTTGGAAGTAGATTTGTAGCTATTTGCTCCTGCCCCCACTAGCCTTGCACCAGTCCCCTGCAGCAGCCAGGGGGAGCTCTAGGCATGGGGCCAAGAGACAGCTGTCTTCTGGCAGAGGCTGGGACAATGCTCCCTGCCCGCAAGGGACTGCCTGCTGCCAGGGCAAGCGCTGCCACTGAACCCCAGGCAGGGACAATGTCCCCCTGCCCTGACAGCAGGGAGCTCCTGGCCCCAGCTCTTCGATCATGAGCAGGAGACTTGGAAAGAGCTGAAGGGGAGGGGCAGGTCCCAGCCTTCTACCCCATCCACTGGTGGGGCAGCTAGCAGGAAGCCCCCAGCTGGGTAGGGAATCTAAGGATTGCCAGGTAGCAGCGAGGAATCCCCACCCAGCTGGGGGCTTGCCACTAGCTGCCCTACCAATAGATGGGGCAGAGGGCTGGGACCTGCAGTTCTTTCCAAGTCCCATGCCTTGATCACCCAATTGGGGAGTGGGGCTGGGACCTGCCCCTGACTGGGACAGTCCCCAGCTCCTGCTCCATGATCATGGGGTGGAGGCTGGAAAGCCTGTTCCCTGCCCAGCTTTACTATCACAACTGGGCAGGGAACAATCACCCACCCCCTACCAGCAGGGAGCTCCCAGTACCCTCTCCATGATCATGGAGTGGAGGCTGGGAGATCTTTATCCTTAGAAGGATCTCCTAGTGCCAGTCCCGCAACCACAGAGCTGGCACTGGGAGACTAGGATCTCTCGGCTTGGGTCCCACAACCACAGGGCTCAGGCTTGGTGATAAGTATCTCCCAGTGACCTCATGGATATAATAGTATTGTGTATCTTAGGAGACTTAGGATCCTGCAACTGGTCTATGTGAGGCATGGAGAAGTCCTAAGTTTCCCTACCTGTGATTCTCAACCAGGGTGCTGCAACACCCTGGGCTGCCTTGAGATCTTTCGTGGGGTGCTGCAGAATGCCACACAATATAATCACTGTTAAATGTACAAACATGATTCACAAGATAAGCCCAGAGATTTCAAATAGGAATCCATAGTGTTAAAACCTTTCTAACCTGTTGTGGTCTTTCTGAGTTCTTTACAATAGAAATATTGCTCTCTTATTTTTCCAGAGTAAAAAAAAAAATGTCAGAGTTAAGAGCTAGCATGTTCCAAGGGGTGCCTTTAACCTAATGAGGGTTGTTTTGTGCCTTAGCAAGGTGTGCCTTGAGTTCAAAAAGGTTGAGAACCACTGTTGTAGAATGGGGATAATGGAACAGACCTCCTTTGTAAAATGCTTTGAGAGCCACTTGTGAGAGGTACTATATCTAACTGAGGTGTTATTGTTACTAGTGTACACCAGACAAGATCAGCATTTATGCATCACTCATTCCAATGACAAGGGGCAGGAGAAAAGCTGCTTCTTGCAATGGATGGAGTTTCTTGATCAATGTCAAGTAAAAGCATCAAATCAGAACTGAAAGACAATGGCGTAAAGAGGACATGAATGACAGGGTGCAGGACACCTTCTACAGAACTCTGATCCTGCACAGTCCCATGCCCTGGATGTTTCATAGGTGGTATGTCACTTCTGACTACTGGGATTGTATAAGCATTTCAGCAGTTCCCCCAAGTACCTTCTCTGGCCTGTCTTCATTACTTTACTCATTCCCAGGCTGAGCACTAAATATAAGCCAAAATGGTCACAAAGCAATTTAGTAGGGGTTGCCAACTGTTAGCAAGTTT